AAGGAGCTCACGTAAGAACCTCAGAAGAGCCATCTCCTACCAAAAGCTTAAGTTCTCCACTATGTATTAGTGCTCTCCGAGTTGGCTAAAAATTTTTGGAACATGARTTACAGCTTGGACCTTCTTTTCTTGGAGTGCTCCCCATCTACCTACTTTGTAGGGAGGACAAAAATTGAGCTATCTGGGCACAGTGTCACATCCTCAAACAATATCCCACCTTTGCTTCCAGGCAAGCAAGTTTTCCACCATTCACAGGGAGAGCACTTTTACTGCAGCATGAACAGAACACCATAAAACACAAAATACCATTGTCCTGTATTTGCTATTACCCAGACCTAAATGTTAACTTCAGGTCTCAGATATATATGGACAAGCATAAATCACCTGGATAGCTTTTGTGGCAGAAACTTACCAGGCATCTTAGAGGAAAAAAAGTTAAAAAGAATAGATTTGTCTCTTATTTCAGTCTACACTTAATCTAAAACAGTACATTACAAATACATCTAGACCTGGATTAATATATGTTGGTCTGTGGACTKCTTGGCAGTAAAATGCTTTTCTGTTCCTTGATTTCCCCTTCAGCTGATCCTAACTACTCTCACTGGAGCCAAAATGCAAGAGATATCGTTATTTACTGACCATAAAAAATATATGCACATACTGAATGGGGTTATTCTACATGTTTATACACTTCTATTTGTTTATTCAGCATCCATCACATTCAAAATCTTTCCTAAGCACAGATATCTTCTATGATATATTCTTATTTTTTCCTTTATTTTCGATCTCCCTGCTCCAGCGTATTTATTGCACTATTACCCCAGTATGGAAATGATTGCTAACTCCTGAAACAAATACAGCAGCATGGGAAAAAAATAGCATTAGTTGTTTCCTACAGATACCTGAAGAAATTGATTGATCTTTCAGGGAATATGAATCACACCACAGACATAYTCTGGAGTTGGCACAAACTAACATTTAAATCTCAGAAACCATTTAAATCTTGGAAATCATAATAAATATGTGCACTAAAACACTGAACAAAGTGCAACCAAATACATAGTCTTCCATGAAGAGCTAAGATTTTGTCTGCTTTTCCAGTAATGATTGAAGAGGGTGGATGTGATCCCAATCCCACTGCAGTCAGGGGAACTTTTGCCACCGACTGCGAAAAGTGGTATTGGATCCCAATACAGTAATGATCAGTGCTTCCATTTCCAATATGCTACATTTCTAATGAGTCTAATTTTATTCCTGGCTGTGCTTTCAGCAATAAAGAGCATCATCATTATAGACTCCTGCCAGATTTCGGCTTTTTTCTATAAGACGCAACCGTGATGCTACGTACTTAACTTAATTGTGAAATTACAAATGCCAATAAGGTTTCTGAAATGCCTCTCTGGAGAAGTATCAGCACTTTTGAAAAAAAAAAAAAAATGCAGGAAAAATCCTCAACAGTAATACCAATCAACTGGATCAAGGGAAATGGGAGAAGCACATAGCTCACATAATTCTTCTTCCTATAGAAATCTCACACCTACAAATGATTTGGTATTTTCTGACAGAAAATATAGTTTCCACAAAACTGAAGCTGCTTTTCCCTTGCCTGGAATCTTTTTCACCTTATTACAAAACTACTCAAAATTTTAGACACTTGGGTATGGGAACAGTTTTATATTACTGTTGATTATAAAGTGCCCAAAGGATTTAGAACTCTCCAATGGAATCATAGAATCCTTAAGGTTGGAAGGGACCTCCAGATGTCATCTAGTCCAACCCCTTTGCAGGGGTCACCTAGAGCATGTGGCACAGGGCTGTGTCCAAGCGGGTTTTAAAGATCTCCAGAGAAGGAGATTCCACAGCTTCCCTGGGCAGCCTGTTCCAGGGCTCTGTCACCCTCACTCTGTTAAGAAATGTTTCCTTAAGTTCCTGTGGAACTTTCGGTGCTTCAATTCATGGCCCTTTCCTCTAGTTCTGTCAGTGGCCATGACCGAGAAGAGGCCACCCCCTCCTCCTCACTGCCCCCCTTGAGGTATTTATASACACTGATCAGGTCCCCCCTCAGCCTCCTCTTCTCCAGGCTGAACAGGCCCAGCTCYCTCAGCCTTTGCTCAYAKGRCASATGTTCCAGGCCCCTGATCATCCTSGTAGCCCTGCGCTGGACTCTCTCCAGCAGCTCCACATCCCTCCTGTACTGGGGAGCCCTGAAATAGTTAATGCAATCCACATAGATGAGCACATAAACACTGACCCCTTCTAATGCCTCCTGACATAAGATCCTTTTAACCCAAAAGAAAAGGTTTTATCATATTAAAGACTTGGATATTGTAATTGTGCTTGTTTCTCTCTATTCTTTAGTCTGATGTGCCAACTCATCTGAAGTTCTAATATTCACTATCAGTTTGACCTACAACAGCTAAATATTCATGACACATTCTTTTATTTACCAGCTTTTAATAAGACCTGATCTCAGTGTTAATTTTTTGCTAGCAAGACTTTCTGAATATGCTTTGATATTCAATTATTGCTTAAATATGTCACAGAAGTTCTAAGCTATTTTTCTACAGCATGGAACAATAACAAAAGTTAGATTCAGGTCATCTTTGAAAGGCAGAAAGAACAAAAGGTCTTTTAGATCATACTGCTTWGTGCTGCAAGTTACAAAATTTCCCATTTTCCTTTTAAAATACATGTCTGAATTGGTCAAAAAAGGAATTGACAATGTAACTCATTTAAGCCACAGTCTTTTAGTCCATTGGAAGCTATAAATTAGGTGATGAACTGGTGCTTCAGCACCCTTGGTGTATCCCAGAAAATGAGGTTATAATGCAAGACTGCATGTCACATCATGATTTGCAATGTTATGCTGGTTTCCACACTTCAGAGTGGAAAATATCAGCTTTCTGTATTATCTAGCTATTTTAATATACCTATACTGCTTTCAGAAAGCTAGATGTGTATCAGAGAAGAAAAGTCTTTTACTGTCCTCACATCATTTATATACATTGTACAATGATATTACTAAGATGATTTGGGGGAAAAAAAAAAGCAGTATTAAGAGCTCTCTGGTCTGTTACTTACTGGAATTCTAAATCCCTCTTATGAACTTAGGCACAACAGGCATCTGTGGTCCAGACACTTTGTCTTCTAAAATAAATTTTTCTTACTTGAGCAAGAAAGTTTGCTCCCATTGCTTATCTATGAGACTTGCACTGCACATACAGATCTTTAGGCACCTGACAGGCAGGAGGGTTTCATGTATGCAGACATTGAATTTGAGATTCTGAGTTCTGGTGAGAGTCACTTGGTGAGACTAATATGTTCCACAAACATGATGCATGATTATGATTAGTTCATTAAGAGGTAGTTCATTAATGTTTACATTAATGTGATGTTCCGGTGCAAACTTGGGCTTGGAAGATCTTCATTCTCCAAATATACAATCCATGTTCAGCGATTACCTCACTGCTTAAACTCAGATTAAAAAAATATAATTTGCCAAAAGGCATCCGCTAAAAGGCGCTGCAAAAGAAAAGAAAGAGGAAGAGTATAACTACACCATTACACTCTTATATTTATGGTAGAAGTATAATTTCATTGTATACTAGAGGTATAATTGTTTATTAAAATAACCTTCAGATGTTCTTTTTAAAATAGGGAATTGCAAGTCACTGACACTGTAAAAGTGTGGCAGAAGATCCTTTAATCTAATCCTAAAATATGGAATCAGTAAGTCCCCCATGTTTGTTTCTGAATGGGAAAAAATAAATCATTCTAAAATTACAAACCAAGGAACGTCCATACGATGAAGCTCTCTGCATTAGCACTTTCTGGTATGCCAGATACTTCTATATAGTATAGCATAGCTGGATATGAGCAAAGGAAAAAATATTTTGTATACAACACAGGTAGATGAAATCAATTTTTTAAAGCAAATCATGATGCTAAATAGAGTGTCTAAAAGAAAATGAGCCACTTAGTCCAGAAGAGAATTTCCTTTCTTTCCCTGAGCATATCCTTTAAGATATCATGTAGTTTATCTCGACTACTTCTCTCTATAGGTGAGTTTTAAGACATAGGGAACATTCTCAATTGGTAGCATTTTTTTCCAGTGCATGGGCTTTTCCATATTTATACACACACACGCTTTAAAATCACCAAATTCTCAAAAATGAGAAGGTGAGGCAGCAAATCAGGCAGAGATGGCTTTTAAAATAATATCTTTTCAGGCCAAGTAGAAAAACACAAGACTGCATAAATGATGTTTTTCCTGATGCCACCATGTGAGAGTCAACACAAGATGTCCATTTTCTATGCAGTATGTTTGATTATCAAGGACAGAAAGCACAACATTGCCTGAACTAATGTGAGATCTGCCAGTTACTAAAGTGATTTGCATTGTTTATTTCAGTAAAAAATTAAGTTACTCACCTTTCTTCTGAGATAACATTTGCTCTTTCTCAGGAGGTAGAAGAGAGCTAGCCTTCCTGAAGCGTAGTGAGGATCCTTCAGGAAAAACAGAGAACATCAGGAGTCCTCAGTGGCATTCAATGCTCTTTGACTGAGATCACTCAGGTGAATCAGATTCCTCCTCTCTTCAGATTAAAAAAAAGTCAAAACAAAAATTGTACAGTGTGATCTGTGGACTAGAGACCCTTATGTTATTCCATGAGCTCCAGGTATTTCCTTTGGCACAAGATATATTGAAAGACTGTAGGATGGAGGGAAGGAAGTCACACTGTCATTGGTGAGCAGTGTGAAGCTCAACATAAACATGAAACATGAACACATCAAGACTAATGGTCATGGTTAATAACATTTTAATGTTCCTTACATTTCTTAATGTGATATCGAGGCTCAGTTATAGTCTGAAATGGCATCTAAAAAAATAAACCGGTGTTAGGTCAGTCTTTAGACAAAACCCCAAATATCATCTTATTCAATTTTTTTCTCTTTTTTTTTTTTCTCTCTCTCTTTCTTCCACCCTTCCCTAGGACTACACCCTCACCATGTACTTCCAGCAGTCCTGGAGGGATAAAAGGCTCTCCTATTCTGGAATACCTCTAAACTTGACGCTGGACAACAGAGTGGCTGACCAGCTCTGGGTGCCTGACACCTATTTTCTAAACGACAAGAAGTCATTTGTCCATGGGGTGACAGTGAAAAATCGAATGATTCGACTCCATCCAGATGGGACAGTTCTCTATGGCCTACGGTACGTTGGGTTTTTTAATCAGGAATGTTGCAGTCCTGGCAGAAAGCAAAGAGCAAGTGCTAAATGCCAGCATTACCATGGTCCTTCTCTTTTTCTTCATGGTTTCTCACTGCAGGTTTATAAGTCAAACTCGATCTAGGGCATTGCAATAATACTGCTAAATATCTTCCACAAGGCATCCTAGCTACCTTAATAAGCTGTAGCCAGACTAATAAGGCTTAATGCCTCTGCATGTTCTCCCTGTAATCAGCCAAAACCAAAAGCTTCCTTCTTTTGAGAATTTCTCCAATACAAAATATAAAAATCAGACTCTTCTGAAGAAATGCAACCAAGTTTTAGTAGGAAAAGGAGAGAACAGTTCTAACTCACCAGAGATATTTCCATATTATTGATTGATCTGAGTACAGGTTTTCTTTAATTTGCCTTGGTTTATTATCTGCCTTTCCAAACTACAACTACTTTCTACACTGCAATTCATATTCATCCTGTACATAAAAATATATTCTAAGATCTGAAGAAGTACAAACTAAAGATCATGTACGTAAATATAACATTAAAATTAAATCAAGTTACTGGTTACGTTAAGTTTACTCCAGAGCCTCTGTGTGTAGGCATTGTATTATTTTTAAAGTTGAAGTAGCTTACTTGGAAGAAAATGATGCCTGCTTGAAGTAACCTCTGATCACTGTTACCATTCAAAAGTGAAAATATCATCCACAGAACATAAATCCCAAAGTGTACTTCAGCTAACCTGAAAAAATCATAAAGCATGACTCTTAGCTACCTAGATATTGTTAAGGTCCTTAAATGTATACCTAAATCAGATTGAAAAGAAAAGAAATTGTTGCAGCAGTACAAAAACAAAAGTAATAATTTAGGGAAAATGTGTATATATAGCTTATTGAAAATCAAAGTTCCAAATACGACTTTTTAGCCTATAAAAAGATAGCTTCAAATGACAACACTACCCATGCGCTCACAGAGCCTTTCAATCCATCAGCTCAAGCTTCACAAGAAAAAAACACTTTCAAAATATTTGATTCATGGTGATTTCTTCTGAACTTATTATGCTCACAGGCAGTGCATCAGTCTCTGCTAGGGAACTCAAAGGCATTTTCATACAGTCACTTCTGTTATAGCACTACTGCTATTTGAATTATGAGAACAAAAAACACAAAACAATATATACAATGAGGAAGATGCTGACAGACTCCAGCCATTGTTATCATCTGACAGAACATGTGAAAAATGCATCTTACCGATTGCCTTTAGATTTCATGTAGTACAGTTCCTTTTACAAAGCTGAGGCCTGAAAAGCATCTTCACAGGATTACTATGATTAAAAAACTTTCTGGCCTGAGAACTTTAAAAAACTTGTTTTAAAGATTAGAAACTGTTCTTATTTGTAATAATAGTTGCACAGGTGCAAGGACATTTATTAGAGTCTTAAAGTCCTTTCAGACGTACACTCACATGCACACAGTACAAATTAAATATAGTATAAAAATGTATACCGCGTATGTGCTTTCACAGCTGCTTAGGCAAAGATTCCTTCACCCGGCACGTCTGTGAAGCCCAAAGATCTTCCATAGGAATGGAAGATTACAAAGCCACAAGCTATGTTAAAACCACACAAGAAAAGTTACTATTCTTTCAGACTGCCAGAACAAGTCAAGTCCCAGATGCAAGTCAGAGAAAGTCTTTAGCACCACCAACTGTGTCCACCTCCAGGGGAAAAAGGAATATTCTCCTCACATCAGCAATCAACATGCAAATTCTAGCTGACCGTGAAGCTAATCGCTCCCTTTTCTATTCCTCCAGCCACAATAAATAGCAGTTTTGTGTGGAAAAGTGTAGCTCCAAGTAAAGCAACTCATTCATCAACTCATACTGTATCATGAAATAATTCCCTACGTTTGATTTGGGACCTTCTTCCTCCAATTGCAGATCTGCTAATTTGCTTTTTTTTTTATTCCATTTTCATACATTTTTAAGTGTAAAACTAAAAGAGCAAAGATAGGCAAATCACTTGAGGTTGAACAAGGCTTATGGATTACTCCTTAACATGGACTCAGCTTTAAATGTATGAGTGGGAGCTCTTGGTATCAGTAATTAAGTACCCAAGCAGCATGCCAGAATCACAGAGACGAGCTCCATGGGCTTGAATTTAAACTCCAGCCTCAGATGCTGTGATCGATTACAACTGTCATGTACAGCACTCTGAACAACTGCATCACAAGCATTTTGTAGAGCAAAGCCCAGTAGGCCTCGTTCAAAGACCACTTTCATTCGAGCAGCTTTTGGATCCAACTCAGACTGCTGAAATTATTTGTCACCTAAAGATATTAATATTGTTTAAAACCTATTTAACCACATTAATACCAAAAATTCACAAAAATCAACCCAATCACATCAAGTTAAGAAAGAAAACTAAATAGGATTAACAATCAGTTAGTTTTAAAGTTGAAGGACAGTGAAAAATATGTTCTACCTATTTTCTATGCAGCACATCAGGTCTTGCTTTACTGGTATAAATTGTTTTCAGATAATTTCATTGTCCTCTGTCTTACAAAGTGTTCTGCATATTAAATCTGAACAAGCCACAGTCATCCTTTTCACTCATAGGAGAAATTACTGCCTCTGCCACTTTTAGTGCAATGTATGTCTAGACTACCTTCCTCCATGTAAGGGTCTTTAATACTCTTTTTGGCAAAAAATGCATAAATTCTATGAAAAACAGCTCTGGTAGGTATATAAATACCAATAGAGACAGTGTACTCAAAAATATTAAGATGTACGGAAATTACAGTAAGAAATTTTAATGATTCAAGGTACTTCAACCTCAAATAAAAATATACACGGCCTAAGAATCTCTTCATCAATAGTAAATTTGGTTTATTTTTCTTTTCCTTTTACCTTCTTTTAGGGGAGAAGTAGTGGGGGCAGGAGGTCTAGCAATATCGACTAGGAACTTCTGTATAGTTTACCATCTTATATTCCTCCTGTCACAGAACGTAAGAGCTCTTGCCTGATAAGCTGTTAATTATACAGATATTTTAGAAGAACCAAAAAAAAAAAATTCATACTAATATGTATATGGTATTTACCAAAGCTTATTTTTCTCCTGGTCCTGAAGTTCATTAAAAAGACACTCCATAGAAGCAAATCCATTTCACTCTAACAAAAAAAAAAACAGACAAAGAGACAATAATTAAAGTTGTACCTTGCTACAGATTTCCAATTTGCATGCAATTAATTTCTAGCATGTTGAGGATAATTACTATTGAGGAAGAAAATGAAAATAAGGTCTTAGCTGTTCAAAAACATCCTCACTCTCATTTCATTTATATTAACGTTGATTTTTGACATTAATGAAGCACTAGGTCGCAAATAAAGCTGGAGGGAGGTGGCAAAAACAGCATATCTATGCATTTTCTGTGCAATGAAAGTATCAGGAAGCAAATTAAGGTTGTTGGGGAGGCTGCAAAAATTCCACCAGTCATCTATACTAGGCAGGTGACTGCACCTATAGCCACGAAAAGGGGGTCTTTATTTAGATATTGTCAGTAAAAGATGAGAATTCTCCTAATATGGAAAGCTGATGAAACCTAAGTGAATTCTGGGACAAAAATGTGCTAAAGGTACACAAGAAAAAAGAAAAATGGGCTGCACATCCACTTTGTTAAGAAAGCTCACACACTAGTTCACTTCTTGGGCATTTAGTGGGTATCAACAACACCACTGCCCTATTTAGTTCACATAAACAGTTTTAGCAAACTTAAATCCAGATTAACAAGTATTTATTGAGAACAACGCAAAGATTTAAATACCAAAAAGAAAGCAATTTGATCCAAGGAGAAGGAATTTAAACCTGAAAACAAAAACTTTTTAAAGGCATAGCGATTATAAATGGCAATTTATCTCAAATYTTAGCAAGCTTTAAAACACACAGCTAATATCCAACCGTAGACAAGTGCACAAAGATTATGGACTTCTCAGTGTTACCTGGGAGCCCCCTGCTGGGATTCTGCCTGTAGGAGACARGCAGGGCCCGAGGCCTTTCTCAAATGCTTCAGTAATGTTTAAATATCRCAATCATTTGATATTAGTGTCCTTAGAGTCCCTGAATGCTTACCTTCTCATAGACCAGTCACTATGCAGGAGAAAAATAGTAATTTTGCTCTGTGCTGTACATGCATTTGCTTAGTATAGGCTAAATAAGTATTTAAAAGCACKCCTACTTCTGGCACATGTGTGCTCTTAAGATTCAAATGGCACAGCCTGTGTGCTGGATGGAAAGGTTCCAAATCTGTGCATGATTGTTACAGATTTCATAAACAGAATAATATTAATTCAGTTTGATTTTAAAAAAWCCTAAAGTCCTATGAGAACATTTTGGGGATGGATTTTATTTTTCCTGTCACACCAACTGATATAATTGACAAAGGACAGACAACTTTGTTGCTTGAGCCCCTCTTTATATCAAGCAAACAACAAACTTCAAGGTAAGTACAACCTCGAACAGTTAACTCTGAAGCTGCAGATCTATCAATATTTTCTTTGCTAGCAAGACTCATGTCAAAGGTTTCAACCCGGCTGCAGTTTGCTACCTTCTTGCTTCCAACACACACCTCCCCAGAGGACCATGCAATTAACTGGCTGGAATTCCAAGCACCAGCTTTTCCCAGAAGGATTTGTAAACCCGTGTCACTTCACTGCTCTTAGTTATGAATGCACAGMTCTAAGGCTTAGTCTTCAGATCCATCTTTGAAGAAACTTTGTAGGTCACCTTATAAGATCAAAATTGAGAGGTCAAGAGTGGAGTGACTGTTCCATTAAAAGTGTTTTCTCTCTGGCGAGGGGAGTTTCTGTCTTTTATCAGCTTTTTGATATGTATATGAGCTTTCATTCACTAGTCATCTTTTATTCCATTTCTAATTCCTTTTCCTATTATATCTTAATGGCAAAATGTCAGGGTTATTTTTAACATGTCAGTGAAA